AAAAAAGCTGCAAAATCTCCCTTGTTTGTATTTTCACAAATAGAATAAAGGTTTCACAAATCTGAAACGGTGTTATAAAGAATCTTTAGACTCTCTGGGATAATCAAGTCCAGATTTGATGAGTCTAGGTCTAGTGGTTTTAGATCAGGACCTGGTCTAATGTGGTCTACATGTGAAAAAAGCACTGAAATCTCCCTTTTTTGTATTTTCACAAAGAGAATAAAGGTTTCACAAATCTCAAACTGGGTTATAAATAATCTTTAGACTCTCTGGGATAATCCAGTCCAAATATATCGGCTATGCAGCGATTTAAGAGGTACAGACACTGAGGATTGTTCGCTCAGCGCTGTAAATTAAATGTCCCTTAACTTTCCCCTTAACTGCCGAATCGGATGCTCTGAATCGGAAGCCAACTTCAGCGTCGTATCAAAATGTAACACTCGCGCTTCTATTGGCTAGCGAGAGGCAACACATACATGTACACGAGACATCTCTAAGCGGTGGACCTATCATAACAATGTGTGTCTCACAGTATGGTCTCACCTCGTCTCTCCATCCCTTGAGGCAGCTGAAGGTGCCCTCTTGTCTCAGGGTCCGCAGGACAGCGTCCACAGCCTCAGTCCTCCTCCCGGAGGAGTCCAGGCTGGGTCGCAGGGACACAGCGCCCCCTTGCGGCGGACTGAACACATCCGGAAACTGGCTCAACAGCGGGGCGAGCTGAGGAGGAATCCAGCCAACCTGAGCTCCATTTATCTCAAACCGAAAGCAGCTAGCACGACAGGAGCCTGCGGGGAGGTGGAAGGGGCGACTTTAAAACCCGTTCATACCGTCCACTGCATGTTTAACTCGGTGTCTCTGGTGTAACTTACCTGGTGAATAAAAGTTATTCATTCGGCGGAGCAGCTGGACTATCTTTTGCGACCACTGAGAGTGAGACATTTTTCAAGAATGTCAGGAAAACGCCACTCAAACGTAGCCCTGAGGTAGCGCGGGAGGAAATGTGCGAGGTTACTAATATTGTGATTACATAGAACTGGATACAACTAGCATCTCTGGCCGAACCAAATTACCGCCGTGTTTTCATAACAGTGGCCAACACGCATGTCTGTCTGTCAGTTTCTTTCTTCTTCGCTGGATTTGGCAGATTGGACACTGCAAATGCATTTTAGTTCCCTCTATCGTTACTGTTCGTCAAATTGCAACATGCAATCCTTTACTGTCCAATATTGGTTACCGTTAAAATGACTAGTTGCATGTTGGAAATTGTAATTAGTTACCTAATCTAGGTATCACAATCAAAAGTAATGTAACCTGATGATTATTTCCGTTACTTCTGGATTACAATATCAAATGCAATGTAAATACAAGAACAAATGTATATCAATAAGATGTTTTTAACTGAAGTGTATTATTTAAAACAACAGAACCATGTGACCTTAGAAAAGAAGAAACCAAGACATTTAGGATAACAAATGTGTCCTCTTAAATCATAATGCGAAGTATATTTTTTAAATGCAGTTTCAGTTTAACATTTTTTTTAAGCAAACCCGGTATTTCTGTTTCATAAATCTGCATCACTGCATTAAATACAATATATTTAAAGTAAAGAATACCAAAAGTAGCCGTAATAAAAAACAAAATGTGGGCAGTACGTATATATCTATAATAATACTGATCTTTGTTTTAATAGATTTTATATGGGTTGACCATAACAAATGTATTGTAACACTTTAATCGTGCTTGTAATCCAAATATTTTAAAAACATGAAATCTGATTCAAAAAAATGTTATGTTAGTGTAAGACTAAAGTCATAAAATGAATTCATATCAACACATGTGCACATATGCCTACTGTATATGTAAGAACATACATCTGTAAACCTGCATGAACAGCAATGTGATTGTCTTTGTAACACTCAAACACACTGTTCATTCAATTTCCCACTTCAAGTTCCCCAGAACCTGCCTCTTCTTTATATGTGCTTGATTCAACTGTTTTTTTTGCTACTCACAGTGATTTCTCCCTGAAGCGATTGCCTGGCAACGTACCTTTTTCTCCATTTGTCTGACGGCTTTAGTTATTTTCCATAGCATGATTCTTTTCACACACTTCTAAGAAAAATCCTGTAGTACCATATTTTGTATTTAAGAATACATCCAAATGTACGTTTAGAAATATCTAAAAGAAACAGTAGAGCTCCTGCGGTCACGTGACTTTTGGTTATCAGCCACCATTTTGGCAGTAAACATGACGACCAGCGCCAGCGTTTTCCTACCGTGCGAGTATACATCTCATTTTATTTCAAGTGAAATTCGGCTTTATAGTACAAAATTAGAAAGATTAAATATAAGCGACCCATATAATGCACCCGGTGTGCTTTTCAAGAGCATAACCTCCTGCTCTGAAGACGATGTACCCGACTTGCGCTACGCGGACATCCACAGCTATCTTGTAAGCTTTCCATCAGTGTACTGAAGGATTATTTGAATTATTTGAAGTATTAAAGTAACGTGTTATGACTGATGGAAAGCTTACAAGATAGCTGTGGATGTCCGCGTAGCGCAAGTCNGAAGTGTACAATTTCTTTTAACACAGTTCATCATTCATATTAAGCTCATCTACTGCTGTACATAAATAACACTGAATGAATTAATTATTTGTTTAGAGGAAACTAAAGAATGGCTTCAACAAGAAACGATCACATGTTTATACCTAACAGGTAATTACAAATTAAATTATAAAGCAGCCACACAATTACATCACTATGAAATATTCATATATTATATTAAAAATACCAATGCATGCCAGTATTTGTTGTGTTTATCTGTATTTAATGAAAAACATGGCTGGGTTGCTGGTTTGTGGGTCGTTAGCACTCTCTATCTAACCACTCGTCCAGGTGCTTTCTCCGAGTGATGCAACCAACTACCGCACACGTAGTTCCTGAACCACTTTTATTCATGTTGTAATTGTTATATCCTCTTTGTCTCTGCGATATCAGTGCTTTGTCGGCACAACGGAGCTAGCTAGCAAAACAAACCCAGTCCGCCAAAACGGAAGTGCATTGCATCGAAGGGAGGAGTTCAGGATGTAGAGCGGAAACGGCTCAATAACTTGTGTATATGATGTCCTTGCCCTGCAGGTACTCCACATTCTTCGCAGCATCCTCACTGGGAGAGGCCCACTTGCATTTCTTGGATGTGCAGCTGATCTCCTCGTGCCTTTCGTTGTTTTTTCCCCACAGACTGAAGAGAACAGCTGACACATGAGAGCAGCTCTCCCCGAGTCCCGCTGTGCAGTTGCAGTGGGCTCCCAGCACAACACCGTCGTTCCTGACCACCACCCATGGCTTTAGTTGACTTTCATTAAGCCTTTGGGAGTGATTAACCTATATATGAAATTCAAAAATAGATAAATAAAGGTTAAAAACGCCAGCCACTTTGGTTGAGTACGTTCAAAAATACAAACTAGTTTCAGACGCACTGCAGTAGCTATCCGAGCTAATAAACAAACATGCTAACGTGACACTGCCGTAGCTAGACAAGCTAATAAACAAACAATGCTAACGTGACACTGCCTATCAAACTGGAATAATTTAATACTTACCCTTGCAGTGATGATGCCGAAGTTTTTGGATGTAAGACTCCACAGTTGAATGTTGTTTACGAAGCCGGACTGACACCATTTGTAAGCCTCCAAGCTTTTGTAAGCTCTGAGGGAGTCTCCTGAGTACACTGATGGAAAGCTTACAAGATAGCTGTGGATGTCCGCGTCAGAGCAGGAGGTTATGCTCTTGAAA